TGAGCAGAGGGAATATTTTTGGAAAAAAAGGCCTATAAAAACAAGTGCCTATAAAAGCTCATAAATTCTTGTGCAATACAAGCCACTATGAGCATTTTTTTCTGCCAGAGGTTCTGGCATTTTTTTCTGCCCCTAGTGTGCATGGACCTTTAGAGGTGGTCCGATAGAGACTGTCTGCTCCTCCATTGAGCAAACGTCCTTTTTCATAGGCTTTTTTGAGTTTGGGCAAGGACACAGGGGCCCCATGATCCCCTATTGCCCGGGGGCCCCATGATTTGTCAATCCGCCCCTGGTCCGGAGTGTATTTATGCAGACTTTTAAAGTTACTGTGAAGTCTGTATAATAAAGATTTGTATGAGATCACTCCTCCTGCGTCCCTGTACAAAGCATTTATTCTTTCCTTTGTTTGTATAGCACATACATTTACATATTATCGTTTTACAATAAGGATACAACATAAAATGGCAGATTATTTTCACAAAATTGACCTTTGTTCCTTATTTTAATAAATAGACCTGTTAGAACTTTTTATATTCTAAGTTGTTTTTAAAATTAATTATAACACTCAATTGCTCCTTGATTGTAAGCTCCAAGGAGCAGGGCCCTCAAATCCCTCTTGTATTGAACTGTATTGTTGCTGTATTGTCTCCCGTTATATTGTAAAGTGCTGAGCAAACTGTTGGCGCTATATAAATTCTGTATAATAATAATAATAGCTGCACTTTTATATTTATATGCCGAATATGGAGTACATGTCCACTTTAAATCATATGATGATATTATTAGCAAGAGTAGTGAGACATCTTGTGGCCAATATCAGTAATTGCATGGACAATTGTTATAATATTAGGTGTGTAACAAAAAAAATGAATTTATACCCATACACAAATGCCATGGAAAAAACCTAAAGGAGTATGGTGTGAGGCAGACCTGGTGTGGGATGATGGCTCTTCTTCTTTACGCTCCAAAGATGAGGTCCTTCCCCTCACTTATGTGCACATTGACATGAGTATAGTGTAGTTTGGAACCACTTATTGCTTATTCCCCCAAAACATTAAAGTGTTCCTAAACCCAGGACCCTGCATTCACTCTGTCTGGTCTCTCCCACAGTACACAGAACATGGAAATGCAATTATTTTAGTAAATATAAACTGCTAAATACCTTTTCTCATCAGCAGTTAGAGCAATTGTATGACTTCCATCAGTGTCCAGCACAGCACTGGTTAAAGCTTGTAGGAGGGTTTTTCATTCTCCCCTGATTGTTCTAAGAGGCTGCAGGACCCCTGATCCTCTGTCTGGACAGTGCTGAATGGCTCTGTGCTGATCACGTGCACCCAAGAAAAAAAAGAAAAACTTTAACAATACACACCAAATTGAGCATATAAAGCTGGCCCCCAAGGCTCCATTCTTTGTCAGCAGATGGTTTGGGAACAGTAGAAGAAGGGGAGGATCAGAGAAGACAGGATCAAACATCCTTTTTACACAATGAGGAGCATTAACCAGTTAGGTTCCACAGTGAGTATAACAAGCATGCTTTACTGCATATACAGACTGATCTTACTGTTGTGGGCTTAGTAACACTTTAGGACTACTTTCACACTGAGGAGTTTTTGAAGTGCGTTTACGATTAAAAAAAGCGCCTGAAAAGTTCAAGAAAAATGCTTCCCTAAGTATGTCAATGTATACCTATACAGTTGTGTTCAAAATAATAGCAGTGTGTTGAAAAAAAGTGAATAAAGCTCAAAATCCTTCTAATAGCTTTTATTTCCATACACACAAATGCATTGGGAACACTACACATTCTATTCCAAATCAAAACATGAAGAAAAAATATATCAAATTTGTGTTGTTCCTCTAAAACAAATGGAAGAAAAGTGAATATTAGACTGTTCACAAAAATAGCAGTGTTTGTATTCTTCTTTACAAACTCAAACATTCACTATAAAAACTGAAAAATGTTTGAAGATTTTGCTTTCCTTTGAATCACTTAATGAATATTTCGTTGTATAAGCACTGTTTCTGAGAACTGCTGTACATCTGTGTTGCATGGAGTCAACCAACTTCTGGCACCTGTGAACAGGTATTCCAGCCCAGGATGATTGGACTACATTCCACAGTTCTTCTCTATTTCTTGGTTTTGCCTCAGAAACTGCATTTCACCCCACAAGTTTTTCTATTGGATTAAGATCCAGGGATTGGGCTGGCCACTCCATAACGTCAATCTTGTTGGTCTGGAACCAAGATGTTGCACGTTTACTGGTGTGTTTGGGGTCGTTGTCTTGTTGGAACACCCATTTCAAGGGCATTTCCTCTTCAGCATAAGGCAGCATGACCTCTTCAAGTATTCTGATGTATTCAAACTGATCCATGATCCCTGGTATGTGATAAATAGGCCCAACACCGTAGTATGAGAAACATCCCCATATCATGATGCTTGCACAACCATGCTTCACTGTCTTCACAGTGTACTGTGGCTTGAATTCAGTGTTTGGGGGTCGTCTGACAAACTGTCTCCGGCCACTAGACCCAAAAAGAACAATCTTACTTTCATCAGTCCACAAAATGTTGCGCCATTTCTCTTTAGGCCAGTCAATGTGCTCTTTGGCAAATTGTAACCTCTTCAGCACGTCTTTTTTTCAACAGTGGGACTTTGCGGGGGCTTCTTGCAGATAGCTTGGCTTCACATAGGCGTCTTCTAATTGTAACAGTACTCACAGGTAACTTTAGACCTTCTTTCATCTTCCTGGAGCTGATTGTTGGCTGAGTCCTTGCCATTTTGGCTATTCTTCTATCCATTCGAATGGTAGTTTTTCGCTTTCTTCCACGTCCTGCAGGTTTTGGTTGCCATTTTAAAGCATTTGTGATCATTTTAGCTGAGCAGCCTATCATTTTCTGCACTTCTTTATATGTTTTCCCCTCTCCAATCAACTTTTTAATCAAGGTACGCTGTTCTTCTGAACAATGTCTGGAACGACCCATTTTCCTCAGAATTTCAGAGAGAAATGCACTGTAGCCAGCATGTACAACATTTGCTGCCTTCCTTCCTTAAATAAGGGCAATAATTGCCACCTGTTTTTCAAAGAATGAATGACCTCACTAATAGAACTCCACACTGCTATTATTTTGAACATGCCCTTTCAATTAGTGATTCAATTACACAGAATCAGCAGCATGCATGTCATGACTGTTGGGTCTGTTGGATTTCTATTACTCTACTACACCTGCTAGTAAATTATTTGCCATGTAGAAATATCATTTCTACCAAAAACAGTGATCAGGTTAGTGATGTCTGACTGCTATTATTTTGAACACAACTGTATATGTTTTCACACTGGGGCGTTGCGCTTCTGTTGCAGTGTAAAAACTCCTGCTTGCAGCATCTTTGGAGCATGTTTGTTCAGTTAAAAAAACAACCCAAAAAAGGCTCTTCCCATTGAAATCAATGCAAAGCGCCTGAAAAACGCTTAAAAAAATGCCTCAGAAACGCCTATGAGAAGCGTTTTTGGTGCAGTTTTTAGGTCATGTGTCCTTCCCCCTCAGAAAGCGCGTTATAAATGCAGCAAAAACGCATATGCATTTTTTCAGTGGATCAGTGTGAAAGTAGCCCAAAAGTATATAAAAATATCCACAACTTGAAAATGACTATTTTTAGAAACAAAATACTGTCCAGCGATGTGGATCCTCCTCAGATCTGCCACCATGACAACCCATTATCCGATAATGTTTCACTCGCCGATATGGCGACCTGCCGCCTGAGGATGCTGACTCCTTCTGCAAAATGACAGATCCCTGGATGGATGCTGTATGTAAACAAACTACTGGGGATCCTGGGTGATGTCATTGACTAAATGTGGAATGTAGTCATACCCATATATTTAGTATGAATTTTAAAGGAAACCCCATGTCATTTCGTTTAAAAAAAAGGTAAAGAGTAAAAAACATGGGTTTCCCCCTAAAATTCAAACCAGATTCTTATCCAAGCAAGTAGTCTGGATGCTCAGGAAAGGGGAAAGCAAAGGTCCATTCCGCCATACTGATTTGCCTCCTAATGATGCTGCCCCGCTGCTACTTTGATTGCAAACAACAGATTCCTAGCTAGCTGGTGTTGGTAAAAAAAACCTGGCTGGGGATCCTGAGTGTCATCATTAACCAAATACAATCATGACCATATTTAGCCACTGACGTCACCCAGGATCTCTGGGCAGTTTGTTTACAAACAGCAGTCGGCCGGGGATCTCTTATTTAGTGGTGGTAGTGCTACTGCCGCTAAAGAACAGATCCCCTGGCCGCTGTTTGTAAACAAACCAGTCACTTTTAAAGAGTTAAATTGTACTGCTCTGTAACTTCACATGCAGCTATGAGGGACCCCAGCCATGGTAATTGAAGGATTTTTAATGTTCCTGTTCCGGGGATGGGAATGCACACTGGCTTTAGAGAGCGGAACGGCACAGAGAACTAAGTCTGAGTGTATTGGTGCCGAGGCACTGAGCACCAGAACATGTGAGAGTGATTTATACTTTTATTTCTTGTATTTTAAACTTATAATAAATACTACACTATGAGATTATATAACAAGCACATATGACCTTCCTTTTAACCACTCGCCTACTGGGCACTTATACCCCCTTCCTGCCAAAGCCAATTTTCAGCTTTCAGCGCTGTCACACTTTAAATGACAATTGTGCGGTCATGCAACACTGTACCCATATGAAATTTTTTAAAAAAATTTTGAGACAGATAGAGCTTTGTTTTGGTGGTATTTAATCACCTCTTTTTTCTTAGTTTCTGTTGTAGAATTTTGTAAAATAGTGATTTTTCTCCTTCACTGATGTGCGTTAATGAGGCTGCAGTTATGGGCACTGATAGGCTGCACTGATGGGCACTAATAGGCAGTACTGATGGGCACTGATGAGGAGGCACTGGTAGGTGGCACTGATGGGCATTGACAGGCATCACTGATGGGCACTGAAAGGCAGCACTCATATGGCACTTATAGGCGGCACTGATAGGTGGCACTGACTGGCACTGTTAGGTGGCATTAATAAGCAGCACTGACGGGCACTGATAGGTGGCACTGACTGGCACTGATAGGTGGCACTGAAAAGCAGCTCAGATGGGCACTGATACGTGGCATTGATGTGCACTGGTAGGCACTGATATGTGGCACTGATGGGCACTGGCAGGTGGCATATATGAGCACTGACAGCTGGCATTGATGGACACTGACAGGTGGCAGTGATGGGGCTACACTGATCATCAGGGCATCAGTGTACATGTCCCCTCTGAGGAATGCCGATTACCGGCTCTCTTCCCCTCATGAGCTGTCAGCGTGACAGCTTGTGAGGAGAAAAATGCCTAAAAGCTGCATTTTCTTATTTACATGCGATCAGCTGTGATTGGACACAGCTGATCACATGACAGAGCCGACATCTTTGGCTCTATCGTTGATCGGTGATCCGCTGTGTCCCAGGGACACAGCGCACCACCGATCGCCACGCTGTGCGCCACCGGAGCCGCGCACATGCGGTTAGAGTGGGAGGATGTCATATGACGTCCTCCCAGAACAAGAGAACCGCCTTGCGCCCGTCATTACCTTGTATGGTGGGCGGGAGGCAGTTAAATAAGGGGTCATTGATCTGTGGTGAGTGTATTGGTGTGGCACATGTGGTGGAGCACTGAAATAATAAAATAGGAGGAAGATACAACACCAAGCACTACAAATGGACCTTTGTATGCACTTTATGGCCTGGGACTTTTTCATTTTAGTATTTTGTATTTACATGCTATATGTGGAGAAGGATTGCATCATTTATATTATTGATTATTATGGGAGGACAGCTATTGGAGTGTAAGTACCACTTTTGTTCCCATTTTTTATGCTGTATGAAGTGTTAAGCATGTAAAAGGGCAACGTCACATTTTTTAGTTTACACATTTTTTATTATTTCTATTTTCTATTTACATTTTTTGTGGTTGTGAAGGAAGTAGGCGCCCACTACATATATTCCATTTCTCTTTGTATGTCAACTGAGTGAAATAAACAGTGGAAGAGGAATTAAAGGTGACAGACCTACAGTCTTCATACTGGTCGTTCTGGATAACTATTTTGAAGGATACTAAATGTTGGCAAAGAAAGGGCCAAGTGAGGGCACGTCATAACACGATACTTGTAATATGATTGAAACTTCAATGATAGAAAAGGAGAATAAGCGAGAGGGATTAACCAAAAGAGCTATTTTGTTAATTATATCTTTTATTGAAATGTTTCTGTACAAAAGAAAAAAGGAACAACCTTATACACAAAACTTCATATATACATGAATTTCATTTTACAGCACCTTATACCCCCCCCCCTTCCTCCCCCCTACCCCCCCCCCCCCTCCAGTTACCTCTGTCCACATCCCCTTACCTAATATCTGTCTCCTTTCATATGTCTATATCTATGTCCCTTCCCTCCCACCTCCACCATCCCTTTCAAATACTCTGTCAAACTCTCTCTGAACTTTTTCCCTTAAACTTCAACCAGTCCCATATATATTTTAGATGTTTTGAAGTCTAACCAACTCCTCCACATTTTTATAAATTTTTCTATTTTATCCTCCTCTGTATGATATAACTCCTCCAGCCTATAGATATTTCAACTCTATTCATCCACTCATTTATTCTTGGTGGCTCCGGAGCTTGCCACAACTTGGACTAAAACTTGGACTATTTGACCATACATGATTGTAGGGTTGATCATTTAAGATGAGAGCACTTCTTGACTTTTGAGTAAGTAAGTAAGAAGAAATCCACACAAGTACACGGTGGTTGAAAGAGACATTTATTATTGAAGCACAAGGAAATTTAGGGACTTTTTGCCTTCACTGTTTTATGCTATTTATATCTACAGTTGCAAGAAAAAGTATGTGAACCCCTTGGGATTACGTGGAGTTTTGCATGAATTGGGTATAAAATGTGCTCTGAACATCATCTAAGTCACAACAATAGAAGAACACAGTCTGCTGAACATAATACTACACAAACATTAGATGTTGCCATGGTTTAATTGCACATAACATGTAAACATTCACAGTGCAGGGAGGAAAAAGTATGTGAGGCCCTAGCTTAATGACTTCTCCCAGAGCTAATTGGAGCCAGGAGTGAGCCAACCTTGACTCCAATCAGTGTGATGATATTGGATGTGTTGCTGACAGCTGTCCTGCCCTTAAAAAACACACACCTGTTTTGGGTTTACTGGTTTCAAGAAGCACTGTCTGATGTGAACCATGCCTCGCAGAAAAGAGCTCTCAGAAGACCTACGATCAAGAATTGTTGACTTGCATGAAGCTGGAAAGGGTTACAAAAGTATCTCCAAAAGCCCTGATGTTCATGTGTCCACGGTAAGACAGACTGTCTACAAATGGAGAAAGTTTAGCACTGCTGCTACTCTCCCTAGGCGTGGTCGTCCTGTAAAAATGACTGCAAGAGCACAGCGCAGAATGCTGCATGAGGTAAAGAAGAATCCCACAGTGTCAGCTAAAGACCTACAGAAATCTCTGGCACATCCTAACATTTTTGTTGACACATCTACAATAAGGAAAACATTAAACAAGAATGGAGTACATGGGAGGACACCACGGAGGAAGCCATTGCTGTCCAAAAAGAATATTGCAGCACGTTTGAAGTTTGCAAAAGAGCACCTGAATGTTCCACAGCACTACTGGCAAAATATACTGTGGAGAGATGAAACCAAGATTGAGTTGTTTGGGAAGAACACACAACACTATGTGTGGAGAAAGAAAGGCACAGCACACCAACATCAAAACCTCATCCCCACTGTAAAACATGGCGGAGGGAGCATCATGGTTTGGGGCTGCTTTGCTGCCTCAGGGCATGGCCAGATTGTTGTCATTGATGGGAAAATGAATTCCAGAGTTTATCCAGATATTTTGCAGGTAAACGTACGACCATCTTTCCGCCAACTGAAGCTCCGCAGAGGATGGGTGATGCAACAGGACAATGACCAAAAGCATACAAGTAATTCAACAAAACAATGGCTGCAACAGCACAGAATACGCCTTCTGGAGTGGCCCAGTCAGAGTCCTGACCTCAACCCGATTGAAATGCTGTGGCATGACCTTAAGAGAGCGATTCACACCGGACATCCCAAGAATATTGCTACACTGAAACAGTTTTGTGAACAGGAGTGGTCCAAAATTACTCCAGATCGTTGTGCAGGTCTGATCTGCAACTACAGGAAACGTTTGGTTGAGATTATTGCTGCCAAAGGAGGGTCAACCAGTTATTAAGTCCAAAGGTTCACATACTTTTTCCTCCCTGCACTGTGAATGTTTACATGTTATGTGCAATTAAACCATGGCAACATCTAATGTTTGTGTAGTATTATGTTCAGCAGACTGTGTTCTTCTATTGTTGTGACTTAGATGACATTAAGAGCACATTTTATGCCCAATTTATGCAAAACTCCATGTAATCCCAAGGGGTTCACATACTTTTTCTTGCAACTGTATGTTCGGAGTTAGCACTATAAGTTATTGGCTTGCTACTGAAATCCTATGCCTTTTTTTAAATTATGAAACCTAGAAATTCTGATATAATAATTTAGTAACTTCAAGCTGTTTTCTTTTACTTTACTATTTACCCAGTAGAGGGCAGTAAAAAATCATAAATGTCATCATGAACGAAAATGCAATCTAGTAACAAAAGAAATTATAACTAGAAATTCAACAGGTGGCTTCAGGCAAAAACTCTGCTTTTGTTTCCTTTTATCATGTTAGCAGTTTTTATAAATAAGTGATTATCTCTTAAAAAGAACACAAATAGCAACACAAATATTCAAAGCTAAATAGCAGTAGGAAGACATTTTGGACTAGTAAAAAGATCACAGTTTCTATAACACTTGTACAGATAAACAAAATAAATCTGCACTAGGTGATAACCAAAATAAAAACTTAAAAAAATTATACACATGCAGCGATCAGGGATTGTTCAAATACAAAAAAACCCAAAAGAGTGTATATACAGAAAATTTGTAGTGCTTCCATTTTAATTATATATGAACCAACATAAGTGCGCTTCATAACCAAAATATACCATAACTCAATACATAATGTCTCACAGTGTCAATAAATATACTGTATACTGCCACACAAATCAGTGGATAAATATGTATTCATATGAAATAATATCCCATAATCACAAATAAATACTTTATATTAACCACTTCCATACAGGGCACTTTTACTCCCTTCCTGCCCAGGTCAATTTTCAGCTTTCAGTGCTGTCGCATTTTGAATGACAATTGTGCAGTCATGCAACACTGTACAAATATGACATTTTTATAAATTTTTTTCACACAAATAGAGCTTTCCTTTGGTGGTAATTAATCACCACTGGGTTTTTTTTATTTTTTACACTATAAACGAAAAAAGAACGAAAATTTTGAAAAAAAAGTCTCTTTGTTTCTATTATAAAATTTTACAAATAAGTAATTTTTCCTCATAAATTTAGACAGAAATTTATACTACTACATTTCTTTGGTAAAAATAACCCAAATTAGTGTATATAATTTAGTCTGCGTGAAAGTTATACAGTATACAAGCTATGGCACCAATCATTGAAAATTGATCACACCTAAAGCGCTATGGGCCTATTTGATTGCTTGAGGCCCTAAGATGCTAGGAAATTACAAATAGCCCCCAAAAGACAAGGGAAAATAGACAGTCCAGGGTATTTAGTAAAAGACATGGTGAGTTTTTTGAAGTTGTAATTTTTTCCCACAATTCTTTGGAAAATGAAGAAATTACTATTTTTTTTTCACACAATTGTCAAAATAAGTTATTTCTCACACCTGGCATAGACATACTTGCAATTGCACCCCTGAGTATTGTGATACCACATGTACGAGATATTTCCACAACCTGGCCACAAACAGAGACCCAAGGTCCAAGTAGCACCTTCACGCGTTCTAGGAGCTTAAAAGGGGCATAAATTACACATCTAATTTCCTGACTACCTATCACAGTTTTGAAGGCCCTGGAGCACCAGGACGATGGAAACACCCACAGAATGACCCCATTTTGGAAAGCAAACATCCCAAAGTATATTCCATCAGGCACGATGAGTATTTTGAACAATTAATTTTTTCCAAACATTTTCAGAATATGTGAAAAGAAAAATGAAAACTTTTTTTTCACACAAATTTGTCAATTTATAAGATATTTTTAACACACAGCAAGTACATACCAAGAATTATGCCCCAAAATGCATTCTGCTACTCCTTCTGAGTATGGCAATACAACATGTGTGAGACTTTTCCACAACCTGGCCACATACAGAGACCCAACATCCAAACAGAACCCTCACGTGTTCTAGGAGCATGAAAGGGGCATAAATTACACACCTAATTTCCTAACTACCTATCACAGTTTTGAATGCCCTGGAACACCAGGACAATGGAAGCACAAACAAAATGACCACA